CCTGACCAGTTTCTCATCTGACTCCGTTCCAGTCTTCAGGCTGAAATAGCCATGTGCTGAATTTCAGTCTCTTGTCAATCTCCTAGACATGTTCTAGTCTGCCCGTTGCCTTTCCCCATCTTCCACTCCAGGTTTTGCTGGCCTTTCTCCCCGTCTAAGCCCCTCAGATTGACTGAAGTCTATAGGAGACAAACTGAGAATCAGTAGCGGTTCTTCACTGGAATTCCTTGGTGCCCCCAAAATTTATCAGCAGGTTCAGGGGAAAATCCTGCTCATTCCCAGTAGCATTGGTTGGATCATGGCCAGCTGTCATCACATCTTTGAAGAAATCAGTCATCACATTCAAACTTGATTCACAGTCTCTTATGAAAAAGATGGCTTCTTGAACTCCAAAATAGTGTGTAAGTGCTCGAGAATCGTCCACCTTAGCAAATGTTGTTGTCTCTGCTGCTGCAGCCATTCTTTCATTGAAAATGTGGAAGGTGCAGACAAATAAGCTGTATAGTTAGGAGTGCAACTCTCAATCTTTATTGCATTCAGTGACATCGAGTATTTCTGTGTTTTTTATTATTATATTCATCTGAGACGGTGCAATGTTCTTCCTGTTCTGTTGTTTTTTTCACTTGTTGATTGATTTGATTCTTTTTTTCCCCCCCAACAAAAGATGTTTATTTGCTTTGGGTTTTGTTCAGATTAGTTTTAAATTGGTTGGTTTTACAGCTAATCAAATCGTAATCGAGTCCTTGATGCTGTCCTATATTAGTATCTGAAAGCCATGGTGACATTTGACACCACCCTACATATCATGTTGTATATTTCACTGCATGGGGGAGAGCTTATTTCTGCATATTGTGTGACCAATAATCCCTGTCTGCAGCATACCATCATTTAACTCTCCCCACTTCTTCTTCCTACATTAAGGACTTTTCTTATTTTTGTCCTATTTTGGTTACTTCTTATCTGCATAAACAGTGATTCATCCCCCCTATAATAAACTTGCATGTACCTCCATTAAAAAAAAAAACAAAAAAACACCACCAAAGCCAACCTGCAACAAAAAAACCCAAGGAAGTTCTCTTCTCTACTATCTTTAGTTTTAGGTGTTTATTACAGACATTCAGTTCTCTCTCTGAAGTATTTTTACTGCTCATTCTTTGTGACAGTTAATGGTTTTGACTGCAGCTCGTTCATGTTATATTGTCTCATACAGTCCTCAGCTGTCTTAGAAAGAAAAAGATGGATCTAGGATTGCCTTTTTCCTAGCATTATTGCTACTTTATTTTAATTGATAGCATGGGTACAACAGTGACTGTTGAAGCTGAGCTTTGTATTGCTCCTCCAGTTTGCTCTGCTGAGTAAGAAAAGCATTTTTCATGACAGCGCTTCTGGTTTGAAGCTCTTATGGCAGAAATCCTGGGGAAGACACTTGTGCAGGCTGGGAGCCAGCCACTCCTTTCATCTTCAGCAGAGATACTAAAGCCTGAAAGGATGCTTTTTTGGTTTTACATACATTGACTCTTTTAGATTTTCCTAAAGCTTCCATTTGACTTTGTTTATGGTGTTAAAATACTTTTTCAATTCAGCCTTTATATTCGCCATCAGTGAACCTGTTAATACATGGCAAATGGGAAGATTAACAGGCTGGAACACCTGCCAGGACATACCCGTCTGCTTCAGTGTGGCTGAAACAGCTTAAACTGCATTTGCACACAGCTGTGTGCCAGCAGCGCATGTAGATAGATGTACCTAGTCCTACTGTAATTTAACTATTCAGGTGAATAGCGGTGAAGCTATTCATAATGCATTCCTACTTGTGGGCTAGGGCACTCCTCTGTGAAATGAAGCCTGCCCATATTACTGCATTCACACCAGCTGAATTTAATTAGTTCAGGTTGGTCTACAGGTGGTACAGTCATGCATCTGGCTGCAAGGTAGGAAGACAATAAAAGTGAAAGAAACCTTGTGTATCTTGGTTGGACTGCGTTGTTTAGTGGCCAAAGAACTTGGTGTACTTCCAAAATCATGTTCATTTCATCATTTTGCTGCAGTCTGGTACTGCCCAGTCTGTCTCTTGCCTGGTAATCTGTTGCTTTGTGTCCTCAAATCAGATTTTCTGGAAGTGGCAGTGGACAGGAGGAAAATGCAGCCACGAAAGCTGCAGATATCAACCAGAAAATCCCTTGTTCCCTACCTCTATATAAGCCTAGATAGTATTCATGATTCTGCAGGCCAGTCTGGGGCAGGGTTCCTTGAAGAGCTTGGTAACAACACAAATTCCTTTGCATATATGGAATGTGAAGAATAGGTTAGTCTGTTTAGATGTGAGTCATAGTTCTGAGTAGTTTTATTGGAAGAAGAGTAATAAAACTGAATGCATTACATGGAATTAGAATAACGTTACCACAGTTGCCAGCTCTTGCAGTCTGAGTAAAACTGTGTACTTGGTCTTAGCAAGATAACAGCTGTGTTGCACTCCGACGATGTCTGGTTGAAACGGCTAAAGAGAAGCCATTGAATACCTTGAGTAGAGGCAGTGCGTCAGTTAGCTTCTCTCAGTGCATTAGTTACCTTTTCTGTCTAACCATATCATTCTGCCTTTTCTATGGCTTGTGAGGGTGCGCACCTTTTTCTTGCAGTTCTGGAGGCAAAATGGCTGATCTCTCAGACTTTTAAGTCCTCTTTCCTTCCTCCTGATGCAGCTTTTTTTCAATACTCTCTGCCACGTGACCTTGAGCACAGACAGGAGCTGTCTTGGTGACTGGCCCAGCCTCTCCTATTTTTGCTTCAACTAAAGCTCCTAAAGCTCCTGCTTAAGCACCACTTCAGGTCCTGAGGCCTTTGTTCCCTCCTTTTGAAAATGGTAATATCTGCCTGACCTGCATGGTTTTGTGATTCAGATTTTGTGATTTGTTTGCTGAATTAATTTTAACTCAGATCAGTTCCCTTATCTGGTTTGTAACACAGGAGGGGGGAGTGATGGCCTTTTTTTCCCTTCTTTTGGTAGCATTGATTTGCAGTTTTATATAAATAGGGTCTGAGGCATGGGATCAGAACTTCTTACACTGGTTTTGTTGCTGAAGTCAACATATTGCATAACTAATGCTCTCATTTCAAACCATATGTTCCATATAAATGTGTAACTTGCTTAGCATACCTTGGAGTTGTGTAACATTCTACATGTCTTAAATCAGAGGTGCTCTTAATGGGATTAGATGCAATCTAACTGAATTACTGTGGTGTGATAGTGGATTTAGGGGTTTATTCCCCTTAGTCCTGTCTGAGTATGTTAATGAAACAGAAAGGTGGTTTCAGATGAAAAGAAAATTGCATGTCTGATATTTTGTTTCAGATGTTCCTAAGCTCCAGCACGTATCCTGAGATTCATGGTTATTTGCATGCAAAGGAGCAGGGAAAAAAAGCATGGAAAAAATTGTACTTTCTTTTGAGAAGATCTGGCCTTTATTTTTCCACTAAAGGTACATCTAAGGTAAGAGAAGGGGGGGCGGGGGGGCAGAGAGAGCTATGAAGTTAGAGCAAATGTGTATTTATCATTTGTTGTAATGATAACCAAAATTTGAATTTCAACTTATAGTGATAAAAAGGGGGAAAAATCTATTTATTGTAGACAAAATCTAGAGAGGTATTGAGATATAAAATTGGGAAAGTATTGTCATAGAAACAGAAGATAGAAAATATTTTTCCTATCAGTTAAAGAGTGCCCTTTTAAAATGAATTTTCAAATAGTAGTTAAAATTCTGAAGTATATGTAGATGCTCTGAAAGGTGGACATAACACTTCATTATCTAAAATAAACAAAAACCTATGTATAAAAGGATTTTACAGGAAGATTTTGACAGTTCTCAAATTTTGTCACTGGACAGTTTTTCATTTTACTAGTTCAACTTTTTGATGGCAGTACTTTAAACCTGATTATGTTAAACAGGATACACTGGAGTTGAGACAACTTTTACATGAACCACTTAAAACAATGTTTTTTCTTGTTCTGAATTTTCTGTGTTAACTACCAGAGTATTCATTGAGCTGGTTTTGTATCCTTCAGCAAATTTCTTTTGTTTGCTTCCTTGACTTAATTAACCTTAGAGGATGGAGATAATGGTTAGAAATCGTACTGGACAGTAATAATTACAGTATGTTGTTTTTCAGCTTATGAAAGTATATTTTATTTTGATGTTTGAAATGCATACTGCTCTCAAAACTTGACTCCCACTCTAATATTATTGTGGCTTGAATTTAGTGGATGTTTTCCCAGGAATGATATCACTTGTACTTTGGTTTTTCTCCCTCTCTAGAAGAATGAACTCTTTGACTAGTTTGAGGTGTTTTTTCTCTGCATTATAAAATTAATGTTGAGTCGTCTCTTTCTAAATTTCATGATGTCACAGTTAAAACTGCAGTATGTAACATTGTATTTTGGAACAGGATAACTACTATACTCTTCTGAGTTTCTTATCTGGAGAGGCTGGCTAAAAATAGTCTAATTGTATTACATTGCTCTTCTTTTTAGGAGCCAAGGCATCTGCAGTTTTTCTGTGAATTCAGCAATAGTGATATGTACATGTCTTTGACAGGCAAAAAGATTTCTGGAGCACCAACAAACTATGGATTCTGCTTTAAGGTACAAGCTTATTATTCTGATACATATTAAAGCAAGCCACAGTTTTTAGGTAAGCTTAAGTTTCTTTAAGGTTTTTGAAAGCAATATTCAGTTGTCTATTATAAAATAGGAGAATTAGTGGCTTTTATTTCAACAGGTATTATCTTCAAGATATGCATTAATGCTAAAAAAATGTGCTGTGGCCTTCTAGCCTAACAAATCAGGAGGAACCAGAGACCTGAAACAGCTCTGTGCAGATGATGAACAAAGTAGGACCTGTTGGATGACAGCAGTTAGGTTGCTTAAGGTAATTTTTCTGTGGGGAGTTAACTTCTTGCTTAAGTTTACTATGTGAAGTTTTGTTACTGTGTGGCAGAGAAGTAACGTAATTCTAGGTTCCCATGCGATAGCAATATCAATTTTGTACTCTGAAAGCTTATTTTTCTTCATCCCAACAGACCAAATTACTGGAATCATTGTAGGGGATGGGATGATGTCTTGAAGCTAATTCCTGCTAATACTTAAACTTAACATTAAGCATATGCTTATATGTAACCATGTTGAATTCAGTGAGATTGTTGAGTAACGTTGAATAAAGCTACAAGAATACGCAAGAAGGGAACTTTAGTATGTTTTTAAAATGTATCTGTTTGTGACAAAATAGGAATAGGTCAGTTGGTGTATTAAATGGGTAGTATTTAATGCAGAGCCTACATTTATAAAGGCAGCAGCAACAATGACGATGTTGTGCATTTCCTTATCCTAACAGCATTTGTCCCTGGTTTTTAATGGGAAAGAAAAGCATGTGTTATCTTTTACATCTGGAAAAATAAATTACTTGGCTTAGGTTTATAATTTAAAATGCTAACCATGTTATTTTCTGGTTTTAGTATGGGATGCAGCTGTATCAGAATTACATGCAACCATATCAAGGTAGAAGTGGCTGCAGCCCTTTGAATATAACACCTATGGTATGTCCCACAGTAGCTCCATGAATAAATACATTGTTTCTGCCATCATGCTATTTTTAAATAACTTGTGTCTGTTATACCACTGACCTGATCCTGCAAATCTTTGCAAATGCTCGCGGAAAACTTTAGGGCTGTCAGGGTTGACTGGAGAGCTAATTGATTCATTTACTTGCTTAATACAAATCGGGTAGTTCAGACCAGTTAACAGGCTTTTTCACTTTCTCAAATCTCCAATATTTTGGGAGTTCATTGGCTTACCACCGTCAAAAAGAATGGAAAGAGGATTTTGAAAACAGAGCAGCAGAACTAGAAATGCATTAAAAAAGAAGCAAAGCGTTTAAGGTTACGCATTCTGTAAATGGTGAATAAGAAAGCTATAACAAATCCTTTTCAGTACACAGTAATACTTTTTTTTTTAATATAAAATGTTAAGTACTTAAGATGAATTTCAGCTCTTGTAATACTGACTGGACTTCAGAGGAAAACCATAATTTGGCAGAACTGGGTTTTGGAGGAACAACAGCCTATACTAGATGCTGTGTCCATCTCCTCAGTCAGATAGTTGGGGTTGGAGCAGGTTGTCCTTTTCTTTAATATCTTATGGTATCCCAGTTCTTTGTGAGTCATTTGATTTCAGACGTTTTCATGGATGACTTATGTCACTTCTGTGTTTTTTGTTGGCTAAATTGGATAAAAATTACTTGTTGCTGGGACTTGTGACAGTGATTTTTATGGTGGATTTTTTGATCTTTATTTTTATTTTTGCTGTTAAAATGCCTAAAATATGTATTTGCTATTATAGGTATTCACAAAAATAGTTTTCAGTGATATTGCTAATAAGCATGGCTTCAAAACTGTGCTTAATACACTGACGTGTCTTTCCTTTCTGTTATGTGAAGCTGTTGCAATAGCCAGCTGCTGCTTTTATAATGGATCTGGGAGCCATTACTGATTCTCTCTCCTCTTACACTTGCGTGCATTTTAGCTCATGTAGCTTCTAACACAGGCAGAATCTATAACCAGTATTAAGCATGGCACTGTTTTTCTACTTGTGTATAATTCATGAATTAAACAGCAAATTGGATAAACTTGGGAATTGAGTGCACAGGCTAATGAACATAGTTCGTAGGGGAACCACTTTCATGTTTCACATCCCTCAGTAACTCACAACCATGTCAGCTACAAGGAGTTCCCTCCACTCTCCTAGAGGCAAACATTTTCTCTTATTTTGCCCTTGCTTTTTTACTTTTACAAAGTTCTTTACAGGTTACAGTTACTCAGGCAGACCTTAGACTACAGTGTTAAGAATTACAGTGAACTACAGAATTGCTGTCTTCCATTTCTAGTTATATTCATGCTTGTAACCAAAAAGGAACAAAACAGAGCTGCTTTGGTTTTGGACTGGGAAGCTTTGCTAACCCTAACAGAAATCTGGGCCTCTCTTGGTCCGGATGTTACTTTAACTTATAGAATGTTCCTTTAATTATTTGATATTCCAGTGCTTGCCAACATTTGAACCATTACAATCTGTATTAAACTTGATTTTGTAAACCTTGGTTTCTGAGAAGTATTTTGGTGAGTTTTAAGACTATTTTGTCAAACTTCAATGCTTTTTATTCTGTTTTTACAAACTTGATCTTCACTGGGAGAAAAAAGCATTATTTTATAACAGATCCTACAGTTGTCGCATCTGTGATAAGAGTTAGAAGGGATATATTAAAAGGAAGTTAAACTCCATAGATAATGACTGTTTTCAGTGCTTAAATATGGTGAACTTTGAGTGAAAGTTTATATAGAAAAGATACAAATTTGTGACATATAGTAAAATATTTCAAATCTTTGTTAATTTGATGGTTATGTATAAGAATTTTGTATTTTGTCTTTTTTCGGTTACTTGGACAACTTAATAACATTTTCCTGACTTGTTTTGACATGCAAAGGGCTAGTTATAGTTAAAAATATAAATAGATTTTATGGTAAAGTGATGTATTTATCATCCATTGCAGTCATGCAAAAAGATGATCTGTCTTGCCAGACTGTAAAACTGAGCTTTGCAGCAGCAAACTGGAATTACAAATGCTCCCTAGGGTAAAATGAGTTTGGCTCTGATGGGAAACACTGCAGATACTTGGAACAGCACTTACAAAACATAATCTTTTCTCAGAAGCTCACTTTTAAATGATGAATCTTTAAAAAAAATGAACAAACTAAATTTATTTTTCTTTGTTGCAGAGAAGCATTTCAGAAAATTCTTTAGTAGCAATGGATTTCTCAGGACACAGAAGCAGAATTATAGAAAATCCAACAGAAGCCCTTTCAGTTGCAGTTGAAGAAGGATTAGCATGGCGGGTATAAACACCTTTGCTTTATCAGAATAGTATTTTCTGATTGTTTTTTAAACAAAAAAAGCATTGAAATCATGTTTTTACTTCTCTCTCATACAGAGGAGAGGGTGTCTACGACTCAACTCACATGGTAGTCCTATTGACATGTCTAACGTGGGTAAGTGTGAGTTAATTCATTGCGAAAGAAATAATAGCTGGTTCTTTCAATAAAGGCAAAATGTTTTTTAAAGATCTTTATTTCTATAGCTATACACAGATCTCAGTCATGGTTTCATCATAAAATCTCTAGAGAAGAGGCTCAGAGACTTATTTTGCAGCATGGACTTGTAGATGGGTAAGTTAATTCTTTACATAACTCTTCTGAAACACATTTCTAGTCAATAACTGCTATTTTCATGTACTACTTGTTGGGGGGGGGAGATGGAGGAAGGAAGATTTTGCACTTAGCTAATAGAAATAGAAGTTCTTTTATATAGGGCTATCTGGGGATCAGTTGGTTTCTATTTTATATCTTTTGGAAGCAATAAAGTGGTGATCTAACACTTCGATTCTGTCACTGACAGATTACTTATGTCTGCTCAGAGCCAGGCACTTGAGGTCTGTATTTGCACAATATTCTCTGGGAACTGTCAACTTTGGCACCAGTGTCTTTTGTATCTCTTATTAGTGATGAAAGAATGAAAGAAAGCCTGAAAACATTGACTAAGCTTATTCTAAGAGGAACTGTGCAGAGACAGCCATTGAAAAAAAGTATGCTTTTCCTCATGAAATGACTAAAAATTGTATTATCCCTTAATGGTAAACAATAAACATTAGGATAAGACTATTCACTTTTGGTTTTCTCTCATTTAAATGTTAATTTAAAAAAATTACAAAACAAGTAGTTATTTTATGTTCAAATCCTCCTGTTTTTGATTTCCGTAGTTTTGTCCTTACTCCTGTATTAAATGTAAACTTAGGCCTCCTTCATTCAACGAGTAATTTCATAAAACTCTCAGTTTCTCTGAGTCTGTTTCCAGTTACATACCTGTAATATCAGATTACTGGTTAAATTCCTGCAGTTTTAGATTAAATACGTTGTAATAATGTTTTCTACATCTGCAGAAAGGGCTCTAGGAAAAAAAAAAAAAAGAGACGGGAAGGATAGGGAGACAAAAAGAGTCATACTCGGCAAGGATGGCTCATTGGACTTCTCCTTTTGTATTTTTTCTTCTATTTTTTCATTATTTCAGGCATCCTGTTTTTAATCCCAGCTAATCATCCTGAAACTGCTTCTGCACTCTGCATTCATTTTTGCATTTGTTACATGAGAGGGACGGGACACGGGGGTGAAGCCAACATGTATTTGTGAGCAGTATGTCATTCTAGGGCTGATGAATCTTCCAGTGCATTTCAGCGGGTACACACACATACTGTTAAATGAAACCCAGTAGATTTGATGAGTAAATAGCAATGGTGTTTGAGATGAGAAAGTGAATACCTTGCTAACATTAGTTTAGTACAGTGTTGTTTATGTTATATTCTTGGATCTATTCATAGATATGCATTGTGGTTTTGGTGAGGATGATACTCTTGTGTGGACTGTCTAGAATTGATTAGAACATGGTACAATGAGCGCTCATATGCTGTCAGATAGATACTCAGGAGTTACAATGAAGTCATGAATACATTACAGCATGTGACAAATGCTGTGCTTTTTGACGGGCTGAAAGAATGTATTATCACCAGAAATATAGAAGTTTTTCATGGGAATAATAAGATTTTAGTTTCTGGGGGTAGGGCGGAGAAAATAATCCACGTTGAGCCTTTTAAGGTGATCCCAAGCAGGGAGATCTCTTGCATATATGACAGAGGTGGTAGGACCTCTGTAATACCATATGTACCAACAAATATGCTGTTCATGATGGCTTATAGAAGATAAAGGGACTATTATATAAAGGATCTACAGTAGTCTCAGTATTTGAATAACCCAATAACAGGACAGCAACAATCTTAAGGTGTGCTATGAAGGAATAAAGTTTTTGGATCTACTGTTCTGGTGTAAAACCAACTTTCCTAAAGAAGTTTATGTAGCAATATTGTAGATTTCGTACTTTACTCCCTAAAGGACATTTGAAGACTTTTCAGTGATAAATGGTTGACAGGATTGCAAACAGATCGGCATCTGATTGATGAATGGGGTAAAAGCATTACCAAAAGGCCCATGACAAAATGCAACTGGTCATTCAGAGTTCCTTATAAGTTTATGAAGGAGCAGTTGTTTGGAGTCATCCAGCATGTCTAAAAAGCTCCCTTCCAACCAGCATTTCTAAGATTCTGTGAACTACAACCTTTTCTTCATAATGAAGTGATCTTTTTAAAGGTTCTTTGACAACTAAAGTAGATCTATTATGATAAGGTTAGAAAAGAGTAAAGATCTTTTTATGTGAAAGGAGGACAAATGTTGCTTATCTTTGCTGTTAAAACAAGGAAAAAAGTAAGAAAATGGACTTCAAAATAACTGATGAATGGGAACATAAATCCTAATCAACCTGTATTTTCTTTCCTACCCAATGTGATTACTTTGTATATTGTTTAATTTTTATTTGGGTGTAGAGACCCCATTTTGGATATCTGCAAAGTGTCACATTCTTATAGTGTCATTTTTTTGAATGAAATAAAATGCTGCTCCTTAATGACAAACATATAAAAGATTTAAGTTTATGCAAAGGATCTAACTGTGCTCTGAAAAATTTCATTCATGTCCTGGAGAGGGTGAAAGGCCACTAGGTGGTGAGAGAGAGCTTGTTAGGAGAGCCCGAGTCTATTGAGAACTCTTACTTGTCCTTATGCTTGCCATGTGCTCTTACAAGCCGTATGCTGAGTTGGCAATTATCCCTCTTTAATAACTGAATTAGTATCAGAGCTACTAATTAGAGTGGATGGGGATTTTGATAGAGATGTTAATGATGATGGACTCCAAATTTCTTAATTCCAGGTATTTTCTTACTTTGTAAAAATAGAACTCTTAAAAACTTTGAGGATGAAATTAGTGGTTTGGACCCATGTCATTAGTCAGTGAGAATCCACTGTAAGCCTTTGTCTGCTTTCTTCTCCTGAAATCCTTTCTTTTCATATAATAGTTGCACTCTAATTCCTGGTATGTGGTTGGGCAAAAGTAGGTGGCCACGAGTGCTCACATGGTTGATACCTGCAAGTCCATTTTGCCGGTTTCTTTTGTGTCCTGAAAGAGGAGCATGCTTGCCCATGGCTGTCCCTCTGTTTCCCATCTTCGGTACATTGGTTAGCTATGTCTGTTCCAGACCTGCACAGTACAAACAGTTCAGACTCTCTCCACTACAAAGCTGTGACTCAAGTGCTTCCCTCTGTCCTCCAAACTGTTCTCTGCCACTGTCCCAAACCCAGTTATTCAATGAAAGCTGTCTCTTATTGGTAATCATCCTTTACCTGTACCGGATTATTTTACCAGGATTATGGCAAAATTATGTCTGCCCATAACCTGGCTGGAAAAAGTTATCAGTGAACTAGCTGCAGTGACACTGTTGGCCATGGAGAGTGTTGTGATTTGAATAATGATGCCATAAAGTGAGCAGAGTGTAGCTCTGTCTCAGTGGGAATTTTGCTGATGGGCAGAAGTGACTGTGCATTTATGAATATTGGCCAGATGTGAAAATCCTTCTGGTATGTCTTGCATTACCTTTTCGGTAAACTTCCTGTTGAACTACCTTGTAAGTTTTCCCTATAACACTTGTGGTTTAGGTAACTGCCAGAGTCCAAAGAAAAATTTTGTTCAAAGCACAAACTTTGAGGGTGCTTTTCTGTCTAAAGAGATGCATTGTAATTCTATGCAGTGTAAAAACTAGTGCCTAGTGTCATTCATTTTGAGAATGCATATTTTTCACATAATAAGAGAAGGTGAAGAAGAATTTAAGAAAAAGTATTTCCAGTGACACATTTGCAAAGAAATACTGATTAAAAGCATAACTTACGTAATTAATATTATTTTTGCTTTTCACTTACACTTCTGTAATGAATTTACAACAGTTGTAACTGGACGTTTACAAAAGGCTTTCCAGGGTGATCTTACTGTGAAAATTTTCAATCTCTTTTAGGGTATTCCTGGTACGTGACAGCCAAAGTAACCCCAAAACATTTGTATTGTCATTGAGTCATGGATTAAAAATAAAGCATTTTCAAATTGTACCAGTAAGTAAATTTTTGAGTTTATATATACAGTTGTAAAATAAAACAATTGAATAATTGTGGTAGAATATTGCTGTTTTTTTTCTTTTGCCATTATGTGGAAGATGTAAACATAATACCTGTATCCCTAAAAATAATTAGTATTCTTGAGTAGAGTTGAACATTTTTGAGCTTTGCTGTTTGATTTGTTATAAAGCTTGACTAGTATTATGAAATCCTAAAAAGTGTCTTGAAAAAATAGACAAATCTATTTGAACTGGAATAGAAGCAACCCTGATGGCATGAAAAATCATGTATTAATAAAGGTCATATTGCCTTTTCATTTTTCAGTACGTGCACAATTTCTTTTTAATCATCTGTTTAGGTGGGCTGCCTACACCGTGTGTGTGTGTGTATCTGACTGACTCATCTGTTCAGTAGAGTTTCTCTCAATAGTTGGAGTCAAACAGTTTTTGCTGACCTCTCTTCTTGATTGATGTTATTGTGGTATATTCATGTCCAGGTGTTCTTCAGGGGGACAATTTTAGCAAAAAATTGATATCCTTGTTTAGTCCAGCTACTTTTAGGTAAACTGAAATTTTCTGAATTGAAATCATATTTCCATCAGTTTTCGTTGAAGATATCATCCAATTCTCCTGCCAGAGCGGCTAGCTTTCCCCATCCCTTCCACTCCCTCTAGAGGTGGTTTATACTGTTTTTTTTTTTACAGGCTGCTTCTGTTGAAATGAGAAACACTTTAGCATTATGTGTTTTAGCCACAGATGCCTGACATAACTGAGCAGACCTGTAGATTTTTCTTCTCTCTTCTCAAGAACCTTTCTTCCAGACCACATAATACTCTGGCCTCCATGTTTCTTTCTACTGAAGTTTCTAGGAGATCCTGCTCTTTCTCAGTAGAAATGAGTGTAGTGGCATATTTTTTTTTGTTTCTGATCTGGTGATCCCTATAATTGTTCACCAAATTTCTGTATGCATTACCTAGGGCTTGTAGCTGATATCCTCCCCTAAAAAAGTTCCTGTAGAATAAAACAGAAGCATTATTTGGGAGGAGGAAAGGAATGAATCAATGCTTGTTAAAAGAATTGCCCAGGATTTTCATTGTGTTAGGTGAAAACAATGGAGCAGTCCTTCATCTAAAAGTGATAGCTATGGCCTGGATCCCATGTGAGCATGAGCATAAGCTCTGTGATCAGAATCTCAGGTGTAAGATCTCTGTGCTTCTATTGACTGTGGTTGCTTCTCGTATTTACTTTGGGAGAACTGTTGTGTGGTATAGAAAACCTTCTGAACTTGTACAAATACTATATGATTCTACTTCATTGGGATGTCATTTAACTCTCAAATTTAAGAGACCACTTTTTTCTTTCCTTATCAAGAAACAGACCCTCTCTTCTCTAAGACCAGATGTAGCGGGAAGCTGCAGTTATCTTCACCTTCCTCTGAGCTGGATGATTCTCTTCTTCCCTTCAAAAAAATTATCCAGTCAATTCTAATGTTATTCTGCAGATGTGAGCAGTGCATTTGAGGAGTTAATCGTATACACGCATGCTAAAACCTTGCTCTTCTGTTGTAGGTTCTTTGTAGGAACGAGAAATTCTTTATTTTGACATAGATTTTCTACAAACTTGTGTCAGTATTTCCATGCTGGTGGTCTAAGAAGACCTGTACCACTTCAAGTGCAAAACCTTATTTGAAGGAAAAATTTTTAATTGTTTTTAAAGTAGAGCAATTTATCCTATGCTAATTACCAGAAAATAAACCTGTATGGAGAACAACTTAATCCAGAGAGAGAGTATGGAAACTGTTAGTTCCCCAAACATAGTCGTATTTCAATTCCTTTCTGTCATTTAATTTCCAGTCACATTCAGTACCCCTCATGCCTTTCTCAATGCCCTGACTTACTGCATGCTCTGTTTTTTCTGGAACAATACTCTCTAAGGAATGCAGGAAAGTATTTTTTGAGGGGGGAAAGATTTTGCTTCCAGTTGCTGTTGATCTTCTAAATGAAGTTACCATTTTCTAAGAAACAAGGCAATTTGTGTTATTGCAGTAAGTTGGTAGCTTATTAGTTGGAGATCAAGGTTACCTTTTTGAACTTCACATCCTACTGTTCCTCTAAATTCTTGCCTTTTTCCAGTCATTGGGAAGAGAAGATGAACTTTCCTACTAAATAAATAAATGACATTTAGAGGGTCTCTTTACAAGTTAAAAATCATTCCATCTCTAAATGAATTATTTTTCTCTTACATTTTAGGTTGCTTCAGGTTCAAATGTCTCCTCTCAGATAGGGCATGCAGGCTGCTAATTCAAGCTTCCCCCACATTAACAGGTGCATCATGTTAACATAGGTAACATGTACAACAGGTATAGCAGGTGGGTGTCAGGGAACTGGTTGTAAAAAGTTGAAAAGAAAACCTTTGGGATACATTTGGGATCCCATACTGTGAAAACTGGAGAACTTGATAGCTTAAATGTATTTTTCAGCCTTACTGCTCTGAGCTGATACAAGTTAACTTCAGTGTAGTGTATCCTGAAATTAGCTGTTCTGTAGTCCATGCAAAAGAAGAAGAATTGATATACATTTCTGGGGCTGTCTTTTTCCAATAAATGTTCTCTCATAACAGCCTTCTTAGCTTGCAGAAGGTGTTAGGTTCCTGGGCAACATAACTTTGATATGAATTTTTACTTTGCAAAATATTGATTGCTGTAGAATTAGCAATCTGTCTGGTATTCACTTCAAGGTTTGGGATTAACTTGGATGGGGAAAAATAAGCTAAAGATGAAATCCTCGTCAACAGACATCTCAATTGTCAACTCTTCCTTGTCTTCAGTGTGTTGGCAGGAAAATTGCATGCATAAGGGAAGCCCAATGGATGATAATCCATTTTCAGGTTCTTGGCTGGAGCACAGGAATTTGCACATGCACACAGTGGTAATTCCTTAACTAGCAGTGTTTGACCTGGATTGACCAAAGTCTGAGAACAAAGAAATTACAAACTACTTCCAGACATGGTAGAAAGGGGTAGAATGACCAGGAGTCATAAGCAGTTCAACAGCTGCTTCAGATGAGAAATCTTAATTACAGGTAAGAGAGCTAATTATATCTTCTCCCTTCCCCTGTACTCAAGGAGGATAGTTGCATCTTTCCTTAGCACACCATCTGCTACTCTATGCTAGCCCTACTTCAGGATCTTCTGTTCACTACTCTTTCAGTCTTGTATCTTTTTTCCCTTTTTTAAAATTGTTTAAATAGGTTTTTCCCCCCTCTATTTGCATTAATTAATACTAATTAGTCACTATTGCATTGAAGCTTCTTGATATTAGACGTATCAGCAGTAGAGGAAATAAATCGAGAAAGTATATAGTCACCAATGCAATACAAATTGTGCAAGAGTTGACGTTCAGTAACCTAGAACAGGGAAACACTGACTAAATTTTTAAGCATCTAAAAGTCAAAAGTAATCTTTCAAAGTATGTTTTGCAGTTTCTTCTTTCTCTCCTGTATCTATGCTGATACATGCGTTTGGAGCTGCAGCAGTTCTTTCTCCTACAGCAAAGAACATATTACTACATCAAGCATGTTACTTTTGTGATGGGCAGTTTCTTGTATAGCACATATCATCCAGTACACCAATGCACTAGTGTGTAGCCTCATTGTACCTTACAAAATAAGTGATACAAAACGTAGCAGTTACACAGAATATGAATGGAGCAAAGGTTGAAATCTATGAGTATGTTGAAACTTGGTTGTTTCTTGTCACTCTGTAAAAACTCAGTGTTCATATTAACTCCAGCTATCATCCAAAGCAAAGGCATAAAGTAATATTGTTAGTGCAGAAAGAATATTCCTATACTTATTTAACTGTTCTTTCCTTTTAGGCATGTACCTAACTTAAAAGGGAAGTTAAAGAATGCATTATTTTTCTGTTATTTATTTTTGATCTTGCTGTGAATGATCACTGTATTAGGAATATCTTGGTCTACAAGAAGACTTCTCAAACAAGTATTTCGATTGGGAAGAATTACCATAGCAAAAGAGGATTTTATTCTATGTTGTTTTTCCATTTTTACAGTTGGAAGATGATGGGAAGCTTTTCTATACCCTTGATGATGGTCATACCAGATTTACTGATCTCATCCAGCTAGTGGAATTCTACCAACTTAATAAAGGAGTACTGCCTTGCAAGTTAAAACACTATTGCGCACGAATTGCTCTTTAACCAAAGCATCTGTTGTTTCGTCAGAGGAAAAGGAAGATACCAGAATACTTTTTCCCCTAAAGGCAATTTGTAGAGCAAGAAGGGAAAAAGTATTACATTGTAAAGATTCTATGTTTTAGCTGCAAAAAAATATACGTTCTATAAAGATAAGAACTTTGCATTGTGATTGTCACAGTCAAATTAACTTTATTGTTTTAAAAAAACATTCTTTCCTATGTAATTCTTTAGTGTTGTCTTGGACTTTGTTTTTTTTTCTTTCCAACTGAAAACAATTTTAAAAAAAATAATATTGTGTAAGTTCTACAAAAATATAACTGAAGGGAAGATCTTTGTTCTTAGGTTTAAAATGAACTTTTTGTCTCTTCAAATGTTTCTCATAATTTCTGTTCATCACATAGAAGAATAACATTTACTGTGGTGAGGATAAGAAGCTGAACTGCACATTTTATTTGTAAATAAAATGAATAAATATTTTGCACTCTATTTTTGAATGCTACTTTGGGGATTATCATATACAAAAAGTGAAAAACCATTAAAACTGCTTATAACTGATAAGTTGTATTGAGTTGTGCTATTACTGTTGTAGTATTTTAAAGGATTTTTTTAATCTAATGACTAAATCTACATCTTTATACAGAGCTGGAGTGTCACTTACTTGGCTGTGATACGCATAAACATGCATAAAGTTTCATGTAGTGCATAATGTGGTTTAGTGCATACCTGCAGTCTCACATACAGAGAGAGGGGGAGAGAGACCTGTGAAGTACTGTGTATTGTTGCAGAGTTGGGGAGGGAATCAACTTCAATTGGCCTTAAAAACTAAAGGTAACGTTATAATATGTACAAATTTACAATAGTTACAAATACTTAGAGTACTTAAAAATAAAGGTAAATCCAGTGAACTGTACTCTTTGTTGAAAACCTGGTGTGAGTGTATTTGCAGTCAGTTCCTAGCTTATTTTATTATTTATCACAGAATAAAAATTTCAATATAGCTACCAGTCAACCAGTCTTTAGAGATTACCAAACATGTAACATCGCAACTCAGAAGACCTGTTACGGTAGACTGAGTCAAATTTTGGACCATAGCATTTGAAATACTTTCGGTATCTGTGTTTTGAAAGAGAGATGATACAGCTGCATCCTTGAACAAAGGCTCGAGTGGAATGGGGTTTGGATTGAAAGAGGTGTCCCTGTCCTGATGCTTTGCTGTCCAATAGATTTGATCTTGTTATACAGGTTCAGGACCTGGCCCTGGGTATCTTTACTGGAGGTGAACGCTGGAGTGCAAGGTAGTGCTTGGAGATGGACCATCACACTGCATGCAGCCCTTCTTTCCTGTGCTTGCTTTGATTCTCTGACTGTCAGACGTATCGGCTGTTCTGCGATAGGAGTTGGTGGGGAGAGAAGGTGAAGGAGGCCTGGGCAAGGAACGGAGTAAGATGGGACCCAGGGCACAGCAGCGCCAGCGTGTGTAAGCCGACAAGGTCATGTAGATGGAAGCGTTAGAATAGTATGGTAACTGTAGCCTATGGTTTTGTTATTGTGTGTCTGTGGAAGGCAATCATAATAACATAATACTGTGATACTTAATTTACTGACTTGATCCACACATTACTGACCTTTTCCTCTGGTATGCAAATACAGTTTTTAAAGCTCATTAAAAAAGCAACTCTTCATAACGTGTACCAAAGATGCAACATATGTGGTGCCTAAGCTCATTACATTAGGAATGCCTTGTAAAACTCTTCACAGTCTAATAAATTTAACTCTTAAACCTCAAATATAATTTCAAATTGTAATTACAAAAATATAGTTTTAATTAAAACCTCTTCAGATTTAGTTTAATAATGCGATTACTTCTCAGGCCTATTGTTATTCTGGAGATTGGTATGGCACAAGGAGAAACATTCTCCTCTGCATCCCTGCTTTTTTGATCATCTTCTAACAAACGAAATGAATTGTCTACTGTAGTCCATTTCTACTTGGACATATGAAAGCCTTGCCATAATTTTTATTTGTATTTATGTATTTGCTAGCATACTTGATAGAGAAGCTAACTGCTCCGTGAGTGAGTACCTGTCACCTTTGGGCCTATCAGAAAAGAAAAGAGAATGTGGAGATTATGTCATGTAGTGGAGAGACATCAACCATCAAGAATCTTTGCCTGCTTTTTCAGGTTTTTTCACAAGTGAAATTGAAAAAAAAAAACAAAAAACAACATCAAAACAACCCCAAGTAAAATGAAGTATTGCTTAATGAGCATGGGTTTTGGACATTTGAAAGTTTCTAACTGGCAAGTATTCAAAGCATTCTTACTCTGTAAAATGTTGCCTCCTGCATTTTGACAGCTCTCTAAACTGAAATCTTGCTGAGAATACAAAATCTGTTTTTTACAAATGTGCATACCTTTCCTGAACTGTATGGTTGGTTGTGACTGTGCCATAAAAACCAAACCAGTAAAATTAATAAAATCTAGTTTGGTGTTTAAATGACTTAGCAGGCTACCTCTTTGTTTAAGTATTACTGGAGGAAGAAGCATGAAGGAGGTAGTCTTAATGTGTAAAAACAAAAAAACAAACACCACCACCCCCAAAACAAACAAAACAAAACTATTTGATATCCCAGACTACTTTAAAACATGCTAAATGGTACAGGTGGTTGATACATGACTTGCAAGATCCTTGCTAGCAGCCAGTATTTTCTTGTCAGAAAAATGACAAGGTTTTTTATGATACCACCCAGGATATGTCTGACCACAAAGTTCTTTGAGGGTGTAGGCAATGCTGTTTAAACAGAATTTCAGTGTGTTAGCTGTGGCTTCTAATTAGGAATAGTACACTTCTTTGGTGCCCACCTTCACAAAGAAAATTGGCTAATCAGGAGTTGTTAACAGCTCGGGGAGAAATCAGTACTATTTTGGGCAAACCAGTCTATCTGTCTCCAACCGTTTGCTTCTCTGCAAAATGTGGACAATTTTATATCTATCTCGCAGAGGATTTAAGAACTGATTTAAAAAAAAAATAATAATTGAAATTGGTATTGTTTGCAGAGGGCTTTTTTTAATACATAAGGAAGTGATATGTTTTAACCTTTATTTTGAGGAGGCCAGAATCTACAGTCTTAAACTTCTTGATGGAAAATCCGTGTCAAAGCACCTAGGTTTGAAGCATGATATTTGAAAAACACTTCATACTTTCTTCACATTTAAAATTTTAGACTTCTGTGAGTGTATCTGTGTAGTGCAGTGCAGTGCCAAGGAAGAGACAACTAAGCTTGCCATGCAGAGGTACCAGAAGCAGTGTAACTTATACAAGCCCATCTTTCTATCTGGGGTAGTTAGCCCTGCAGGGGTATGCTCTGCAAGCTGTGAGCTAGCAGCGATTGCTCTAAAGCTCAGCATTGTATTTGTTGGCACGCCCTTTGTGCCTTAGTTTCCAATCTTAAAATCATTTTGGCTCAAAGGAGATTAAAAGTTAATTCACTGGTGTTTCATAATGCATATACATACGCGGCCAGAATTAAGGTTGCATGGGCAGCATTAAATGACATTTTTTAACTTCTGAGTGTTTTTACTTAACAATCTTATTAAGTCACTTAATGAATTTTTTGACATGTAGCACGTCTTCAGTTCATCAAACTAAATGTTTTGAAAGAGAGCTTTAACCCATTAAATAAAAGAGGATTACATACGTAACTAACTACAAGTGGGATCTTTCAAGGATAATTGAATTTCTGTCAAATGCTTTCTGTTACATCCTGGTTTAAGAATTGTAGCATTTTGTGCTTCCCTGGAGGTAGAATTATACTGTACTGTAAGTGGGTTTGGATGTCTAATTTTAAGACATAAATCAGCTTATTTCAAGAGAATAGCCTTTTTTTTTGTTGTTACATTGTTTAAAGCTAGTCATCTTCATCTATATAGAGGCCATTCAGCCACAGATTAATTTATTTTAACTTTTTAGCCTATTTAATAGATGAAGCTTGCAAATCAGTCTAGCACTTGTCAGGAAGAAATCTTATACGTAATTTTTGTTACCTTTGTTACTTTAGTTTAGAAAAATACTAAGCAAGTTACAGCTTACATCAGCATTTCTGTTTGGTTAGTAAAATAATTATTTTTGTTACTGTCCTGATATTTCAAACTACCGTTCCTTAGCACTGTAATGCATTCCATTTCTCATTTCAGCTTCGTAGCTGAAGCTTTCACCGAAATCATCGAAGATGGGACATACCCCATTACTTGAATATACTTGCAAGCTTTCAGAGGTTAAACACTTACGGTCTATGCATAATCAATGTGTATGGTAGTGCAATTAATGTTAACTTTAATGAAATGCATGAATATTTAAAACTTAATGAATCTAGCTTTACAGCGCGCTTTACAGCCTGGCTCACATATGTGAACAGTATTGACTGTTGGCCTCTGGATGTCAGCAGTGTATCACAAAATTCCTGTAATCAGCCGCTGTTTTCCTGCTTCCTCCCAGAAATATCTGTGACTTGTGGTCTCTGCACATCTCCAGAACACCCAGTGCTTTTTCCTCTTATAAATTATTCACTTACTCTGTACCAATTAGTTCTACCAGTTGCTAGGTTTGTTATCAAGTTAAGCTTCAAGACAAGAACCTGAACTCAATGAGTGATTAAAAATTTATTAGCAGAGATGATTAAATATGCAGATAGTCTGTGAAGCTTGTTCTTGAAACCATTATATTACCTTTTTAATACTAATGATTTGTATAATTAATTTTAAAAAAGCCTGAAAGTCTTTTAAAAAAAATCAGAGTAGGACATAAAAGAGAAGAGATTAAATGCAGAGGAGGCAGTGAACCTGAGTATTAAAACAGCTCATTCGCATATATAGGCAATAAAGTGATTTCCTTACAGGAATAGTTTGTGGTTTTTTTCCCCTCTGCTAAGTTGATTATTTTATTAATCTTTTAAGCAATTTGGGAAAACTCTATCCACTAGTGAGTCGTATTTTCAAAACAGAACTT